AAAAAAAGGGAAAATAAATAAATAAAATGCCAGTTGGAACTCAGGCTCACTAACCCAGTTATTCAACATGTAGGGTTTTTCTGGGTGTAGTGGTGAAACTACACCCCTGTAGTTCTAGCACTCAGGGGGCTGAGGCAGGAGGATCACTGGGAGTTCAAGGCCAGCCTAGGCTACATAGACCCTGTCTCAAAAAAATTAATTAATTAAAAAAAACCTCAGGAGCTTAGTAGGGAAGGGGTGCAACCCATGTTGCCTGAGGAAGTTCATTCTTTGTCCAAGGACCTAGTTCACTGTGCATTCATAATTCTTATCAGTGTGAATGATCACCCAACTCTATCTCAGGTCCTTCCCCTAGCTAGCTGCCTTACTCATAAGCTAACTAAATCAACTATCTTCTACACTCTTACCCTCCCTTATACCTCCGCATATTAGGCATAACATGAAATATTTATCTTTCTTTGTCTGGCTTATTTCCCTCAACATGTTGATCTCCAGTTCCATCCAGTTTCCTGCAAATGATAACATCCTCTCTTTTCCTCTTCTCTTCTCTCCTCCTCCTTACTCTCCTCTCTTTCTTTTCTTTCTTTCTTTCTTGCTTGCTTGCTTGCTTTCTCTTTCTTTCTTTTTTCTTTCTTTCTTTCTTGCTTGCTTGCTTGCTTTCTTGCTTTCTTTCTTGCTTTCTCTTTCTTTTTCCAGTGCAGTGTGACTGAGCTAAATCCCCAGCCCTCCTCTTCCTCTTTATGGCTGAATCCATCACTGTGAATTCAAGGCCAGCCTGCACTACAGAATGAGACCCTCTCTCAAACAAAACAAAACAGGGCTGGGGCTTTATCTCAGTGGTGCTTCCTGCCTTGCAAGCGCAAGGTCCTGAGTTTGATCCCCAGTACCCCTGCCCCCCCAAAATCAAATTCATTATATATATATATATATAACATTTTTTTTAATCTATCCATCTGTTGATTGGCACCTAGGCTGGTTCCAAATCTTGGGTATTGTGAATTGTGCTACAATAAACACAGCATCCCTGTAGTATGCTGACTTTAATTCCTTCAGCTACCATATATGCCAAGGAGTGGGGTAGCTAGATCGAAGGGTGGCTCTTATTTCCATAGTGGGTGTACTAATTTACATTCCTACCAACAGTATAGAAGGGGTCCCACTCGACTCCTGTACTCGCTAATATTTACTGTTTTTTGTATTCTTTTTTTTCTTCTTTCCAGTACCGGGAATCGAACTCTGGACCTTGCACTTTTGAGGCAGGCGGCAGCATCACTGAGCTAAATCCCTGGCCCCTGAATTCTTGATGATAAACCATTCCTAATGGGGTAAGATGGACTTTCAGTGTAGTTTTACTTTGTATTACCCTGATGGGTAAAGATGTTGAACATTTTTTCCATATGCTTATTGGCCTCTTTTTTGTTTTTGTTTTTGTAGTACTGGGATTGAAATAAGGATTCTTATACTGAGCTATATCCCTGGTCCTCCCCCCGCCCCTGCCCCCTGTCCTTTTTAAAACTTTTTAAAATTTTGAGACAAGGACTTGTCCTAGTTAGGCTTGAACTTGTGATTCTTCTGCCTCTGCACTCCAGAGTGTTGTGATTATAGGTGTGTACCACCATGCCTGGTTTATTGGCCAATTTTACTTCTTTTGAGAAGTGTCTATTCAATACATTTGCTTATTTATTTATTTATGTTTGAGGAGGAAAGGTTTATCTTGGCTGACAGTTTATAGGGGTTTCAACTTATAGCCCATTGGATCTAAGGCAGGACAGCATGGCCGAGGAAAAGTTCCTTCATGGCATAAAAGTGAGAAGCAAGAAACAGAGAAAAGGCCAGGTGTGGTGGTGCACAGGTTTAATTCCAGCAAAAAAAAAAATAAAAAAATTTCTATATCACTAGTGAGGCTGAGGCAGAAGGATTACAAGTTTGAGGGCAGGCTGGGCTACCTAGGGAATTTGAGGCCAGCCTGGGCTAAGCAGTGAGTTCAAGGTCAGCCTGAACTACATAGTAAGAACTTGTCTCAAAAAAACAAAAAGGAAAAAGGAAAAAGAAGCAGAGAAAGAAGAGGAAGGAGGAACAGAGATATATCCTTCTAGGCTATGACCTCAGTAAACCACCTCCTATGTGTGTGTTGTTTTTTTGGGTTTTTTTTGGCACCGGGGATCGAACTCTGGACCTTATGCTTTCGAGGCAGGTGCCGGAACCACAGAGCTAAATCCCTGGCCCAAGCCACCTCCTATGACCAGGCTTTACTTCCCATCACGTTTAACTGTAAACTTATCTCATGGACTAATCCACTGATGAGGATCATGACCCCATGATCCAAACACCCCCCAAAAGTTCCACCTATGAGTACAAGAAGCTTTAGCGAGACCTTTAGATACAAACCATAACATTCTGCCCCTGGCACTTTGTGCAAAATGCATTTAATCTGTCTTTTAAGAATCCAATGCAGTTCCAGCATTGCTGAAAAGTCCAAGTACAAAGTCTCCTCTGAGATTTAAGGCAAACTCTTAGCTGTGCCCTTGTAAAAATAAAAAGAAAGTTAAACACTGCCAACATACAAAGGCGCAGGGTAAACATTCCCATTCCAAAAGGTATAAATGGGGGACAGAAATGAAAGGGACAAAAGCAAGACCTAAACCCTGCAGGGCAAATATTAAATCCTAGTTCCTTGTCCGGCACCTGGGGTAATCTGTGGCAAAATGTGAATTCCAAAGGACTTAGGCAACCCCACCCCTATGGCATTGCAAGGGGGAAGAGACACAACTCCCAAACCTGCTAGATATTTGAAGTGCGAGTTTATGTTCTCTAAAATTGAAGGATGAATTCTAGAAACAATTGAGGTTAAGAGTAGGAAAAATTGGGCTGGGGATTTAGCTCAGTGGTTTTGCCGCTTGCTGCACAAGTGCAAGGACCCGAGTTCGATCCCAGGTACCAAAAAAAAAAGAGTAGGAAAAATTTATACAGAAGAAAAAGTGGAAAGTGGGAAAGTGAAAAGTGGGTTGCCTGCTCACCCAACTTCTCAAAGGTGTTTCATGGGACAAAGCCAAGAGGGGAGGCAGGTTCAAGGTAGGACAAAACTATATTCAACTAGTGAGATTTTAAGTACAGTCATTTAGGTAATATTGATCCAATGAGAAATCACAAGGTGGACAAAACTATGAACAACCAATAAGGTTATGACAAGTAAAGTCACTTTGGTAATATTGATTAAATGGGGATCCAGCTCTTCCTGTAAGTGGCCAGAGGTGACCTGTGAAAATGGTTCGATACTCTCTTGACCCAGAAAACCCCACAAAATCATGCAAATCAAGACCCTCAAATCTTCGTGTTCACTTTAAGAATACTCATGAAACTGCCCAGGCCATCAAGAGTATGCATATCCGAAAGGCCACCAAGTATCTGAAGGATGTCACATTAAAGAAACAATGTGTGCCATTCAGGCGTTACAATGGTGGAGTTGGTAGGTGTGCCCAGGCCAAACAGTGGGGCTGGACACAGGGCCAGTGGCCCAAAAAGAGTGCTGAATTTTTGCTGCACATGCTTAAAAATGCAGAGAGTAATGCTGAGCTTAAGGGTTTAGATCTCGATTCTCTGGTCATTGAACATATCCAGGTTGTGGGACTGCATAACTCTGTAATCATAAAACTCCCCTAGCCCCCACTGTGATTGAATGTGAGTAAAGATGCTTGTTAGTTCCGGGACACTAGATAAGATCTGTATCAGCCATAAGGTCCCAAAGTAAAGTACTCAACTCTTTGTTCGAAACTGATGTTCGGGACACCGCTATCTACAGAACAATCTACAAACATCTGCTGACCATCAGTACGTGTCAGCTGATCACTAACCTTTGTTCCGCTTCTGTAAATTTCGCCTGTTAACTTCCCCTGCAACCCCCTATAAAAAGAGCCTCGGACTCTGGGCTAGTCGCCTCTCTAAGCTACTTTGCTTTGGGAGTGCTGTCTGGCCAGACTAAGGTCTGTTTTACTTTCCAACTTCTCCGGTGTGTTCCTTCCCAGGTGTTCTTCGCTGCAGTCAGCTCCTCGGAGCGTTTGGTAAGGCCCTCGGTCTTACAAGGTGAACAAAGCACCCAAGATGCGCCGCCGTACTTACAGAGATCATGGCCGGATTAACCCATACATGAGCTCCCCCTGCCATATTGAGATGATCCTTACTGAAAAAGAACAAATTGTTCCTAAACCAGAGGAGGAAGTTGCACAGAAGAAAAAGATATCCCAGAAGAAACTGAAGAAACAAAAACTTATGGCACGGGAATAAATTAGGGATAAAATAAATGGAAATAAAAGTAAAAAAATAAATAAATAAATAAATGGGGATCCAATGGGGAAACAAGTCAGTAGCAAGCCTACAAGGAATGAGCAAGGATTTTCAGTGGTAAGGACTGGGTCAGGGATTTTTCTTGGAAGATCTTGGTTCCCCACCCAGGTGATTGATACCTATTTAGAATATCAATCACTGCTATTCATGCTCTGCGGGTGTAGTAGTTTCTCTTCTTTTACAATACTGCCTTTCAGTGAATGGGTCTTGATTGTCCTCCTTGTTGGCTTCTCAGGCCCTGGCCCCGTCTAACTGCCTACAAGATATCTAATTAACTTACCTATTTACAATAGTTTCAGCCCTTATGGCTTCTCTCTTGGGTCAGCTTTGCTCCATCCTTGCAGCTTTCCTCAGACATTTCACGTTCCTGGGTATTTCAACATCCTGAGGTCTCCACCACACCTATGGCTTCACACAGCTTTACTCACTGCCCTCGAGGGGCACACTGGCCTCCCAGGCTTTCTTCTGAAATCTGGACGGAAGTTGCCTGACCCCACAACTGTAGCATTCTGTGGGTCCATAAAAGCAGCACCACGTAGATGATGCCAAGGTCTGTCACCAGTTTGAGCAGTAGCTGAGCCCTTTTGAATCTTGCTGGAGGTTGTAAAGGCCTCTGAGTGCCTGAAAGTCTGAGCTCCGTGATCTGAATCCTGGGGAATCAATTCCCTAGGCAACCTTTCACCAATAGTGTCTGGGGCTCTCCTCAAAGCAAAGCCTTTCACTTTTGCAATTTTGAACCTGCAAAGGGTCGGGTCTTTTGGGGGACCCCCCCCCAACCCTCAAGCTATCCTTTGTATTGTCCAGATCCAAAGTACTTGGCTTTTTTATTTCTTTTGATTTTTTTTTTTTCTGGTAGTGGGGATTGAACTCAGGACCTTGTGCGTGGGAAGCAGGCTGGTGCTACTGAGCTAAATCCCCAGCCCCATTTTTATTTTTAAATTTTATTTATTTATCTTTTTGGTACCAGGGATCAAACTTGGGAGATTGCGCTTGTGAGGCAGGCAGTGGAACCACTGAGCTAAATCCCCGGCCCTCCCCATTTTTATTTTGTTTTATTTTTATTATTTTGGCACCAAGGGATTAAACTTGGGTCCTTGCACTTGTGGGGCAGGCAGTGGGCCCCTGTTTTGATTTTTGAGACAAGGTCTCACTATATAGCCCAGCCTGGCCTTGAACTTGTGGTAGTCCTCCTGCCTCAGCCTCCCAAGTACTGGGATCACAGGCATGCATCACCATGCCTAACTCTTGGCTTTTTTTTTTTTTTTTTGAGACAGTGTATCGCTGTGTAGTTTAGACTGGAACTCACTATATAGCTCAGGCCTCGAACTGCCTAGGTGTGCATCACCACACCTGGCCTCTTGGCTTCTTTTTAATGGTAATCTTTTTAGCAGCCAAGCTCTCCTCTGCTCCATCTTTGCAGGCTTTAACTTTACTGGAGCTTCCTTTCTGGTCAGACCCAAAACTTTTTAAACTATTCAGCTGTGTCTTTTGCTTTTAATTCTCAAGGAAGAGTTGGCTAAAAGCTCCCAACCATACCCATGTCACCATTTCAAAATTAGACTGATTTGAAATGTCTTCTGCCAGATTAATTAGTCTATAGCCCATAATCTCAGTCTCATGCAGCATCTCAGGACAGGAGCAAAAAGTAGACAATTTTTTTCTGCCAGAGCATAACCCACATGCCCTGGAGTCCAGCTGCCAATGAGGTCCTTGCCCCCAGTTGAAATCTCCTGGGCCTGGTCTTTACCATCTGCCTTTTCTTAAATTTTTTTTTATCAGCATTCTGGTTTCCTAAGCTCCAACCAGAAGCTTCCATCAAGCTTGGCCCACAGCATTCTAGTGCTGCTTCTCCTGCTGGCATTTCCAAACCTTTCCAAACCCCTCCTGTGAACCAGTTCCAAAGGCTTCTGAACCACACAGTCAGGTGGTGTCACAGCAATGACCCCACTTTTCTCCCCCCACCTTTTTTGAGACAGGGTCTCACTATGTAGCCCAGCCTGGCCTTGACCTCACAGTGATCCTCCCGCCTCAGCCTCCCTAGTGCTCGGATCACAGGTGTGTATCACCATGCCCAGTTACCTATGTTGTTGTATAGCCTTGTTGCATATAAATTTAGTTTATTTCTTCTCATTGCTATAGAGCACTGGTGCCTCAGTAGACCATTTGTTATCACTTAAAGCTCTGAAAGTTTGTCATCACTGTTATAGAGGGCTCCAAATAAATTGTGAGTGCATTAGAATGTATTTACCTACACTACTGTGTGTGTGTTGTATGTGTGTGTGTGTGTATGGTGGGGATTGAGTCTAGGATCTGATGCATGCTAGGTAAGTTCTTGACCACTGAGCTATACTCCCAGTATAGCCTTTTAATTTCCACCTGAAAGTTTTGAGGTTTCACTTTCTTTTGGCATAGGGTACTAGGGATTGAACCCAGGACCTTCACATCGAATTATATCCCTAGCCCTCCTAAATTTTTTTTTTTGGTACCAGGGATCGCACTCCAGTCCTTGCACTTGTGTAGCAGGTGGCAAAACCACTGAGCTAAATCCCCAGCCCAATATTTGTATTTTTGAGACAAGGTCTTGCTAAGAGCTGAGCTCAGACTTGCAATCTTCCTGCCTCAGCCTCCCAGAGTGCTGGGATTGCAGCATGCCCCACCAATGGCTCTCCATTTTCTTCTTGTATTTCTCAGTGACCCCAGGTGTGACTCAGTTGCACACAACAAGGCAGCTGCCCGATGATTGCCCAGAGGGACTTAGGGACAGCTGAGAAGGGGAAACATGGCCTCTACAGAGAGTAGGGTGGGAGCTGGGATCAGGGAGTCAGCCCACAGGGTCTACACAAGGAAGGGCAGGCACCACATGGCCTTATCTTCTGTGTGGAGTTAGTACTTCTAGGGGCAGGCTTTAAGCATCCATTTTATTTTTAAGGTTTGTTTCTTTTGTCTTTTGCACCTAGTCACAAATATATTCATCTATGATGTGTGAAACCACTGCTAAAAGCCAGTTTCCTGACAGAATTGCCAGGCCCCAAAACATTCTGTGTGTGAGTTTGTATGTGTGTGTGTCCTCAGGGCCTGAAATGAAATTTTGAATTAGGATTTCAGATCTGAAGCAGAGAGCTAGAGTTGTTGCCAGCTATTGTGGAGAAGACAATGCTGAGGAGTGGTGTGTGTGTGTGTGTGTGTGTGTGTGTGTGTGTGTGTGTGTGTTGTGTTTGAGCAGGAAGGGGGGTGCTGACATCTGGGGACTCATACATATTCATGAGGAGGCTAGAGATTGGACCAAAGTCCTCAGAGTATGCTGGGACATTTTCCAGGCTGCCTGGTTACTAGGCAGAGTTGCCAGGCGCTGCTGCACCCTCCCTTCCTCCAGCTTCATCCCTCAGACTGCACAGACACTGTTCTAGAGGCTCCAGGAGGAGACTTCTTAGAATCACCTACTTAGCGGTTTCCCGCCGCCTGCCGCACAAGTGTGAGAACCCGAGTTCGATCCCTGGTACAAAGAAAAGAAAAAAGAAAAAAGAATCACCTACATCTTAGTCTGATTTTCCAGGAAAACCCTCAGTTTTCTTCCCCATACTGGCTAAAAACATACTTTGAGTTTCCCAGGGGAAGACCCTTCCTGTTAAGTCAGTATCTCTCAGAAGGTGGTTTGGTAAGATAGGCAGAATGGATAGGGGAAATGGAGTGGGGTGGGGTGTTAAAATGTAAATTTCTAGGTGCGCTGTGTGGATAAAGGTTTCCAGGGTTATATCCCAGAATGTTCATTTTAGAAGTTTAGGGTAATTTTCTGTGCCCACTGAATTTAGAAAACACCCTCACTTGAATGATCAATTAAAGGAAAATTAGTAAGAGACAATACTTGAGACTATGGTCAAGTCCCACTCCCCTGCACCCATTAAACTGAACAACTTCCAAGTCTCCCTACCCACCCGTCTCCCTGCCAGGACTTCTCAGTGATTCTTTTTTTTTCACATTGTATTGCATGGTATTGTATTATATTTTGTAGTACTGTGGATTGAACCCAAGGCCTTCACACTGAGCTACTTCTGCAATTCTGGGTTTTTTGGGGGGCTTTGTAGGATTTTGTGTGTGTGTGTGTGTGCGTGAGACAGGGTCTCACTGTGAAGTTTTTTTTTTTTTAATGTTTGGGGTTTTTTTGGTACCAGGGATCGAACTCCAATAAGTTTATTTTCTTAATTAAAAAAAATTTTTTTTTTTGATACGGAGGATCGAACTCCGGTCCTTGCACTTTCGAGGCAGGCAGCGGAACCACTGAGCTAAATCCCTGGCCCTAAAAAAAATTTTTTTTTCAGTACTGGGGATCGAACTTGGGACCTTGTGCTTCGCAGCAGGCGGCAAAACCAGAGCTAAATCCCTGGTTCTAAAAATTTTTTTTGAGACAAGAGTCTTGCTTTCTAGTGCAGGTTGGCCTTGAACTCAATATATATCCCAGGATAGCCTTGAACTCACCACAATCCTCCTGCCTCAGCCTCCCAAGTACTGGGATTATAGGCATGCACCACCATGCCCAGCTTTACTGTGGAGTTTAGGCTGAATGTGAACTATGTAGCCCAGGGTGGCCTCAAATTTGTGGTGGTTCTCCTGACCCAGCCTCCCTTTTCCTGGGATTACAGACATGTGCCACCATACCAGGCGATCGAACTTAGGACCTTGCACTTGTGAGGCAGTCACAGTGCCACTGAGCTAAATCCCTGGCCCCCACCTGGCTTTTTGGAGACAAGATCTCATTATGTAGTTCAGGCTGGTCTTGAATTTACTATGTAGCCTAGGCTGGCCTCTACTGGTGATGATCTTCCTGCCTATGCCTCCTGAGTGTGAGAGTACAGGTGTGTGCCACCATACTAAGCTCAAAGGAAAGAATTATCTATTATGAACAGTGCTCTTTGTGCCCACCTAAGAAATCCTAGTTTACCCCCAGTTTGCAAAGATATTCTGTGTT